TATAATGAAACCCACAAAATTGATAAATGTAATCAAGTGCTAGACATGAACAACTGGAATACCAGATGATAAATATGTAAAATAAATAAATAAATAAATAAAATCCACAGTCGATGCATTCTTATAGGCAAAAATAAGGAGGTTTAGTGTGTTTATCACGTGAAATATTTTAAACACTCACCAGGAATTGCATCAAATCATAAGAAGTTGCAAGATGCTGGATACCTTTATTTTTTGGATGAAAAATATTTGGAAACCCTTCCAACGCTAACGAGATCTGCAATGTAGAAGATTTGGAAACCCCTTGATTACGGGTTGAAGTTTAATTATCCAACCAATGACATTGTTGTTGCCCGTCGTCGATTTTTTGGAATTCATCTTTTGATTTAGGAAATGCATTAATGGAGAAACATTAGAATGGGAGAATCCAAAAAATGTCGGTTACAAAATGAAATTGCTGGTATATTTATGGAAATAGGTATAATTTAGGAAGTAAGTATATTTTAATATTTTTCATATGTAATAAAGTATTTTTGGTTTTTTAAATGTAATATATGATTTACCTATTCGACCAGTTGCAAACTCAAGATTTTCACAGCCTTCCAGACACAAAAATCCGTATTTCAATTCACAAAATTGTTAGAAAATAAATTTTCTAACCTTATTTCCCATCAAAAAGTCCAAAAATTAAATATCGACGGGGTAATTTTATTTAAAAAAATTCATATTGCAAAATCATCAAGGTAAATCTTGCTCTAATACCAACTGAAAAACTAATTATATACAATCTAATCACGCTACTATAATCTTAAATACCACATAGATCAATGTGGAATTTAGACTAACCGAAAACATACCCCGACCACTGATGTTCATGTGCAATCAGAAAATGGAGTTTTATGTTTTTTAGATTCGAGTGCTTCTAATACCTCTTCAGTCCCAAAATGATGGTGTAAGAAAAACTAAATGGGAGCGAATACATTTAGGGACCCAAATCGTGCTCCATGCATATGCTCTACCATCACCGAGTCTACTTCAAGTCAATCCCAATAATTATGGGATTATTGACTATTTTAGCAACCTCCGATTTATATGAATCAAAATAGAAATTAGAAATGATAGAATTTATGGGTGACCTAATTTGATATAAATATACCAAAAACTGCTCACACAAATTAGGGAAAAATTTAGACTTCTCCTCACCCCCATCCTCCACATGAATCACAACTTTATTTTCAATCAACTGAATTTCGTACACTTACAAGTCACGTACCACTAGTTTGAGGTGCAAAATGGTAAGTAGCTCAAACCACTTAACACTCCTAACTCGAGCCCAAGCCAAATTATATAAACTTGAATAACTCCTTTGAAGTGATTTGATACTTGTACATATCTCCATCATCCAAACCCTAGTTCTCGAACATCATAAAGGTAGGATATTCATGGAGAGAAAAACAAAGACACAAACACAACTCGAAGACTAGTGTTATGGAGAAGAATAGGAAGACAAGTCATGGGTTTTCCAAGTTTGAGCTTGAATATTCAGGATTTTCTTCACTTTCTTTTCGATAAATACCAGGGGTGACGTTCTTATTAAATATGTGTTTTTTCCTTTGAAAATGAGTAGCTATTTCTCTATTTGCTTGGATGATGATGTAATTATTATTTTTAAGCTTTGAATTAAATTTCTCATTATTGATATAAAAGTACGAATTAGTGATTGATTATTTTGATTGGACAATATTAGGATTGAATTGTGAATTATATTGATAGTGAGAGGAGAAATAATTTTTTATCTCTAATAACAATTAACAAAAATTCAAATAGGGGGTAGTGATGTACTACTACTATATGTGTGATTGTTATGTGAAGTTTGATTGTCTTATGGTGGTGCTTTGGGAGATAAAGGAAAGATTTGTAAGTGTGGATGGGCAAGTTTATTGTTGCCATAATACTGTTTATGCTTGCAGTTGTGGGTATAGGTGTTCATAGCAACAAGGGGATGGACGAATAACCTATGAAGTGGAACAAGCTAAAGGTCTTTGCATGGAGGGCAAACTCTGGTTTGACCATGAGCCATCAAGCTAAGCGAGAGGGTATGGGAAATGAAAAATGTGAGAGTTAAGAAAAGAGGAGAACGAGATGATGATGATGTCGAGCATTGATGGAATGAATACTCTGTCACTATTGTGGAAGAGGCTATACATAGTTGTCAAAAAATACGGGTTATGGGTTATCCATGTGTAGGAATTGATTCAAATATTTAACCAAAAATTGGAAAATGAAAAGGTGTGTAAAAGTGGAAAATGAAAAGGTGTGACTACGTGTCAACTTCGACCAAATATTCGGACTTGATCCGATGGTCAAATTACAAAAATAGATAGACCAATTTATTCTACTCGTCGAGTAAATCGTCTTGTAATCTCGAAATCAATTCCGGATGAATGAGAAATTGCGGACCAAAGTTGGAAGAAATGAAGTATTGCAACTTTTCGAAATGATGCAGGTTTTGACCAAATGTTGCAACTTTTTGAAAGGATGCATGTTTTGACTCACACTACTTCATTTGCAACCTTTTTACATCTATAAATAGAACCCTATGGACATGATTTTGGGTACACCAATTGCATTGAACATTCATTCTCCTCTTGCAATTCTCTCATTTCTAATTCCATAGCATTTTCATGCATTTCCTTGGTAGAGAGGGAATTCCGTTCGAGTTCGCTGGTCGAAGTCATTTGGAGTGCTCCTATGGCTTAACGTGGTCGTTGTATTTTGGGAGATGATTGTCGAAAAATCGTTAGCACCGATGCGGGGCAAATTCATCTTAAGAAAAGAGTTATACTCGCCTCGGCCAATCGCATCACTTACATCTAATTTTTTTCTAATTTCATTTCTACTTGATTTTAGAAAATGATTAATTTTATTTATATGGTTTATGCAAGGTTCGATATGAAGAATTACATGTTTTAATTCAAGAATGGAAATGGTCAGATTCGATAATCATTGGTTAGTTTCTCAAACTCCATTTCGGTAAGTCGAAACCTTATTTCGATTTCGTGAACATAAACGGTATATTTTTTGTGAATATATTATGTATTTCCCTACAATCTTAAGATGAGTTTTCTTATGCATATTATATTTTATTTGCAATTGAAATCAAGATACTGCATGAATAAAATCATAAGACAGAATTTTGACGGATCATGATTATGGTAAATGTGTTCTATTACAACATTTTAATTATAGAAATTCATGTGTAATGAATCTGTATATTATAATAGAATCGATAGTGATTCTATAACTTGGAATCATTCATTTATATGTTGAATTCATTACAATATATTTCAAGTTGATTTGTGGACAAACAATTTGATATTATTCAATCCTGCACCATATAATGTAGATTATGGTTTTGACCCATTAGAAGAAATTCTAATATTCAGAGATTAGGGCGGAAAATCTCAAATTGGTGCACCAGATTATATGATAATTAGTTGTGAAATTCATAAGACATATGATATTCATAAACCAGTGCATACATGTTTGTGTATTGTACTTGTTGGTAGTCTCATCTATGAGTTTTATTTGTTGGCACTCTTTTAATCCAAAGTGTATCTAAATTATAAGATACTTTGTGTTAGAAGTTGCCTAAGGAATTTTAATTGGGAAGGTTGGTAAAATCTTGTTAACTGTTTGTAAACAAATAGTATGCATGCTATATGGAAAAATGTATCTTTCCAAATTAAAAATAGTTTTTAATTTCTGAGATGGTGTGACCCGTTTGAATTGTGTAGCATGAAATATTTGTTAAGATAGTATATAAATGTAAACTGATTTGTAAAGTCAAATTGCACATGGACATTGTGAATTTCATATGCTAACAATTATGTTCCTTCATGTTTAAATTGCCTCAATTCAAAGTTATCAAGTGTTAGAAAAATGTTGTAATTGGTAATCTGTGACCAAAAGGACCAATATGTCAAGTTTGTAAAGTCAAGGACTAATTTGTAAAGGTCTAAAAGTTCAGGGACTTGTGTTGCAATTTAGCAAAAATTATGGTATAGGTCTAGGGCAAAGTTGGGTGCCTTGAAGATGAAAATGGCGCAAGATCACGCTAGAGTTTCGCCCTGACCTCGCTCGAGCCTAAATAACAGAACATATCTCGCTAGAGTTTCACCACTGCTTCGCTCGAGCGAAAGTGCATCGCTAGAGTTTCGCTGGCACTTCGCTCGAGCGACAGTGCTATCCGACTTTTGATAATTTTCCGTCCTTGCAATTTTTAGATGCTCCATACTACCAAAAACGACCTAATATATATTCAAAAGTCCTGTTTTTCATACACAACCTTTGAAAAAACACAATTGAAAGATTTTTCCTCTCAACCAAAGAATCAACTTCATAATTCATTCTTTTCATCATATGTCTTATTGAAGAAAAACATCAAACACCTCTTAAAACAAAACACCTTTCAAAAATCCTCACTACTTCAAGAAGATCGACTGATTGAAGATCTGGGAAGGAGATTGATTGAAGAACTGGAGTTCTTGCTGATTCACGGGAAATAGAAGAAGAACAAGGCTGGGATTTTGGCATAGATCTGCAGAATCTAGGAGGGCTTTGGTTGATACAGTAAGGAGGTCAGAGTGTTGTTAGATACAGTCATGTCTGGCGTACTGTAAGCTGAAGTCTTCTATAGTGAATCTCTACTGGCTTGTGCCCAGAGTTTTTACCCAGTTGGGTTTTCTCCGTCAACAATTTGTTGAGTTATTTATTGCTTTCTGTCATTTTTAATTCAATTAGAAATTCAACATAGGCAGTTAAATCATGTGAATGAATCTGGACAAAATTTAATTTATGTGACTTGTAGCATAAGTTGATTGAATTGTTAAAATCCGTATAAACACCTATTCACCCCCTCTAGGTGTTGTTTGGGTCGAACTTAGTCTTTTCAAGTGGTATCAGAGCCAAATCTCGAGTCCTGACCTATAGTTGTCTAGATGAGTCAATCACTTTCTGTACCTCCGTATTTTGATGAAAGTAATTATGCTTACTGGAAGGTTAGAATGCGTGAGTTTCTTAAGTCTCTAGATGAGTATGTTTGGATGAGTGTGCAAAATGGCTGGAAACCTCCCTCCACTATCGTTTCAGGAACTGTTAATCTTACTGAGAAATCACTATGGACTAAGGATGAGATAGCTGAGTGTAATTGGAATAGCAAAGGACTTCATGCCTTGTTTATGCTGTGTCTCCCGAAGAGTTTAGGAGAGTGTCAATGTGCAAAATTGCTAAAGAGGTTTGGGACATTCTTGAAACTACACATGAGGGAACTAAAACGGTAAAGAACTCGAAATTACAAATGCTAGCTTCTAGGTTTGAAGAAGTGAGGATGAAGGATGATGAAACCTTTGATGAATTTTATGCAAAACTGAATGATATTGTTAATTCTAGTTTCAATCTAGGCGAGAGAATTCCCGAGTCTAAAATTGTTAGAAAAGTACTTAGGTCCTTGCCCGAGAGATTTAGGCCTAAAGTTACCGCCATTGAGGAAAGTAAGGATCTAGATGAAGTTAAGATTGAAGAACTTGTAGGATCCTTGCAAACTTATGAATTCACTGTCACACAACCTAAGAAAGGAATGTCCGTTGCTTTAAAATCCATCAAAGAGGATGAATCTTCTGATACTGAGTCTCTTAAGGACGATGAAATTGCATATTTTGTTAAGAAATTTCAAAAGGTTCTCAAGAATAGGAGAAAGCCTCAGGATAGAAAAAGTGGAGCCCCTAGCAGATTCTCAAAGGAAAAAATTGAAAGGTTCAACAATAAAGGTTCTAGTGATAAACCACGTTTGGTTAGGTGCCATGAATGTTAAGGTATAGGTCACTATTGGAATGAGTGTCCTAATTATAAGAAGAATCAAAGAAAAGGGCAAGGTAAGGCCTTAGTTGTTTCACTTACAGATAACGAATCTGAGTCCAGTGATAGGCAGGAATCATCTAGAAGTGAAGATGAAGGGAACTATATGTCATTTGTGTCGACTTTTAAGAGTGAATCTGATAAGGAGAGTGACAAGGTTGAGGAAGAACTTCGCAACGATAATTCTAGTAATGAGGATGAAGATAATATAGACATACAAAAGGCCTATCAACTCTTGTTCAAGGAGAGTTTTAAAATCAAAAAGGTCAATAAAGCCCTACTCAAAAAGGTTGATGAACTTGAAAGAGAAAAAGAGAGACTTGCTAGTAATCTTCAGAATTCACTTAAGATTGTTAGTGAGTTAAAATGTGTCAATGAGAAGTTAGAAGACAAGGTTAAGACATTGACTAGTGAATTGGAGAAATCTAATGCTCATCTTCAGACTTTCATAAGTGGGACTAAGAAATTGGATGATATTTTAGGAATGAATAGGCTAGCAGGAGATAGGAAAGGTCTAGGATATGTTGAGGATAATACATATGTTGCCGGTCCATCTAAGACTGTATTTGTTTCTGCCTCTAAGAAGTCTAACGTTGTCAGCAATCCAAATAAGGGTAAGAATGTTCCGAGGGAACAGAGTCATCAATCACGTAGGAATATCATGCCCAGATACCCACAGACACGTACCTTTGAGCCTAGGTTCATTCCCACCCGTCACCACTGTGGAGCTCTAAGACACACTAGACCTAGATGTTATAAGTTAAGCAATGAGCGTAGAAATCAGAATATTCCTAGTCAGGTTAGCTTTCTGTCTAATCATGTTAATCATTTAAATGAGATGCTTACTAAGATAACTAGGAGTACCTCGTCATCTAAGAAAGTTTGGGTTAAAAAGGGGGATCTAGCTGGACATTCAGGTCAGGTAAATTGTTATGTTGCTCATGTTGCATTAAAAGCCCAAAATTACAATATGTGGTACCTTGATAGTGCATGTTCTAGGCATATGTGTGGTAACAAGGCTTTATTCACTACTCTTGATGAATGCAATGGGGGTATGGTTACCTTTGGAGATGGGGGTTCTGCACCTATTCTTGGCAAAGGTACTGTACAAATGCATGGATTACCTGTGATTTCAAATGTGCTTTATGTGGAAGGTTTAAAGTCGAACTTGTTAAGTATTAGTCAGATTTGTGATGCTGATTTTGAGGTTAGCTTTGTGCAAAAGAGATGTACCGTGTATGATTCATCCGGTGGGGTGGTCCTTGATGGGGTTAGAACGTCTGATAACTGCTATGGAGTCCTACCTAATTCTAACTATGTGTGTAGGAGTGCAAAAATTGATGTGAGTGAACTCTGGAACAAAAGATTGGGTCATTTAAACTATAAGAGTCTAGTACAGCTGGCTAAAAAGGAGTTGGTAGATGGTTTGCCTAAAATAGGTCCTAGTGAAAATGTTGTGAGTGGACCATGTCAACTAGGTAAACAACTTAAGGGAAGCCATAAAAAGACTTCTAAAATTCTGACCAAAAGACCCCTGGAATTGATACACATGGATTTAATGGGACCATCTAGGACTGAGAGTCTAGGAAGTAAGCGGTATATTTTGGTTGTGGTAGAAGATTTCTCGAGATTCACATGGATAGAATTGCTTAGGGAAAAATTTGATGCATGTGATCTTATAAAATCTTTGTGTAAACGGCTTAGTAATGAACTCAATCTCAAAGTGTCCAGAATGCGTAGTGATCATGGAAAATAGTTTGAAAATTTTAATCTTGAGAGTTTCTGCATGGATGAAGGGATATTACATGAGTTCTCTTCCCCTATCACTCCTCAACAAAATGGGTTGGTTGAAAGGAAGAATCGTGTTCTTCAGGACATGGCTAGAGCCATGCTTCATGGCAAGGGACTAGCCTTACATTTTTGGGGAGAAGCTGTTAATACTACATGCCACATAATCAATAGAGTCTACCTTAGACCCAAAACCGATCAGACTCTATATGAGATTCTAAAGGGTAAAAAGCCTACTGTTAAATACTTTCGTGTGTTTGGGAGTAAGTGCTACATTTTGCATGATAGAGAGAACTTGAGTAAGTTTGAATCTAAGAGTGATGAAGGAATTTTCTTAGGGTACTCTAGAAATAGCCGAGCATTCCGAGTATATAACTCACATACTCGTGTTGTGATGGAGTCAGTCAATGTTGTGATAGATGATGCTGTGGGTCAGGGGGAGAATGTTGAAAATTGTGATAGGATGGACGATAGAAATGGTGATCTTATAAGGTCTACTGATCCTACTGAACCACCTGTGTCTGAATCATCTCTTAGAATACCTAAAAACCTGAAAATGAAACACATCCACAAGATCGAGACAAAAAACCTAAGGAACCATCGTCTAGGGTCAAGTCCAATCATCCTAAGGACAATATCATTGGGGATCTAGATGAAGGTATGAGGCTTCGTAAGAGGGTACTAAACAATCTAGCATATACTAGCTATGTTTCACAGGTTGAGCCCAAGAAAGTCAAAGAGGCTCTTAGTGATGAGTGTTGGGTGAATGCGATGCATGAGGAACTAAATCAATTTGCTAGAAACAATGTGTGCATTTTAGTTCATAGACCTGAAAACTGTAATGTTATTGGTACTAAGTGGATCTTTAAGAACAAGACAGATGACCAAGGTACTATAACCAGAAATGAGGCCAGATTAGTTGCTCAGGGTTATACTCAAGTTGAGGGAATTGATTTTAATGAGACTTTTGCTCCTGTTGCACGACTTGAGTCCATTCGAATTCTGCTTGCTGTTGCCTGTACCCTAGGCTTCAAGCTTCATCAAATGGATGTTAAGAGTGCCTTCTTGAATGGACTTTTTCAAGAAGAAGTCTATGTTGAACAACCAAAAGGATTTATTGATCCAACGTTTCCCCACTATGTCTACAAACTCCACAAAGCACTCTATGGTCTGAAACAAGCTCCTAGAGCTTGGTATGAGAGACTTACGTCATATCTTGAGCGACATGGGTTCTCTCGAGGTGGTGCTGATAGGACCTTATTTATTAGACATATTGAAGAAACTATCACTATTGCCCAAATTTACATCGATGACATCATTTTTGGTTCTCCCATTGAGTCTCTAGCATATGAGTTCACCGAGTGTCTGAAGCAAGAATTTGAGATGAGTATGGTTGGTGAGTTGAGTTACTTCCTTGGACTTTAGGTGAAACAGACTGAGGATGGGTTGTTTATTTCACAGTCTAAGTATGCAAAATATTTAGTTAAGCGCTTTGGGTTAGACAGTAAGAAGCATACTAGGACACCAATGAGTACTAGCTTGAAGTTAGGTAGTGATCCTTCAGGTAAGAGTGTAGATCCTTCACTATATTGAAGTATGATAGGTAGTCTTCTCTATCTCACAGCTACTAGACCTGACATTGCTTTCAGTGTTGGAGTGTGTGCTCGATTTCAGGCAAATCCTAAAGAATCACACTTAAGCTCGGTTAGACGCATCATTAGATATGTGAGTGGTATCGTTGATCTAGGCATTTTCTATTCTAGAGATTTTAATCTTGATTTGGCTGGCTACTCTGACGCCGATTGGGCCGGGAATGCAGATGATAGAAAAAGTACGTCTGGGGGCTTTTTCTACATGGGTAGCAATCTCGTAGCCTAGTTAAATAAGAAATAAAATTCCATATCCCTATTCATGGCAGAGGCCAAATACATAGCAGCTGGGAGTTGCTGCACTCAGCTTCTCTGGATGAAGCAGATGCTGAGTAATTATGGGATTAATCAAGGGACCATGACTGTTTTCTGTGACAATACCAGTGCTATAAATATCTCTAAGAATCCTATTCAACATTCTCGAACGAAACATATTAACATACGACATCATTTTATTCGTGAACTTGTTGAAACACATGTTGTCTCCCTAGATCATGTCTCTACTGACAACCAATTGGCCGATCTACTTACGAAACCACTAGATGGGTTGAGGTTTGAGTCGCTTCGGACGGCTGTTGGTATTTGTTTGCCTATCTGATCATGATTCATGTCTATTCATGCATTTATCACGTCTGCACTTATTCACTTCATATCTTGCATGTGATCAATGTGTGTGTGGTGCATTTTGATTGTTGGTTCGTCTTTTAGTTTTATTTTGTTTACTAAGTTTGTGTGTTTTAAAAAAAAAAAAAAAATAAAAAAAATAAAAAGGGATTTTCTTTTTGTGTGCCTCTTGTGTGACTTTATGACGTTTGCATTTATGATCAAACTCTATCTTTCATCATATCTATGAGTCTGAGGTTCCATCATAGTTTTCATTTTCTATGTAGTTCTTGGTATACTGTTTGATATAGGTCTTCGTGGAATTGGATTTGACTGTCACTTGGTCGATATACACTCCTTTACAGTTGTTTTCACGTGTCCTTTCTCACTAATTTAAGATTTTGAGTCTAACTTGCATGGACTACGTGGCACATTTCACATTGATGTTCTGTATACAATTTACTCCACGGGATTTTGAACTATGTGTGGACTTAAGATTTGTCTACGTGTTTTGAATGTTGAGTTTGTGATTTTGTGCTTATTGTTCGCATTGTCTACATATTTGGGTATGTGCTTCATCTTCAATTTTTGGATTGTTTTGATATAACAAAAATTCAAAATGAAAATAAAAATAAATGTTTTTGTAGCTATTTTTGTTATTTTCTGAAAATTGTGCTGTTTTTATTAAATTTCAAATTTTTGGTGCTATTTTTGACATTTTATTTTCGCTCGAGTTTCGCCTGGACTTCGCTCGAGCGACAAAAGCAGAATGGATGTCGCTCGAGTTTCGCCCAGGTCTCGCTTGAGCGACAATTCCTTTTAAAGCGGCCCTGTTTCATTTTTTTTCGCGCGATTCGATCTTTCTCTCTCCTTCCTTTCTTTCTTTTCTTCCATCAATATTATTCACTTCCCATTAACTTTTGCCTCAATCCGACACCTTTAACACGGTTCTTGATCCGAAGTTTCAACTCTTGGCTTCACATTTTTGGGTAATTCACAGTTTCGATTTTTTTATTTTTTTTACTGTTTCTTTGTTTTTTTTTTTAATTTGTTTCTCTCATTACTTCGTTATATTGTTGTTTTGTGCATTCCTTGGCTGTTTCTATTGTTTTTAAACATGTTTTGCATCACCAATTTCCATGAATTGTGCATTACTATGGTTTTTCTTCACATGTTTTTCACACTTTTGGTCCATTTTCATTGGAATCGTTATTGCGTTTCGTTAATCGGTTTGATATGTGGCTTGGATGGTTGTAAAGTCCATGGAGTGTAGTTTTTAGGGATGTGTTCGGATTTGTGATTGGGTCCTGTATGTGATTGGAATTTGGTGCCGAAGTCACGCCTGTCACGTGTTCGACTTAAGTTCACCTCTTTTGTGTGTTTTGGTTTTTTTTGTTTTTCTTCTTTTTTCCTTCGTTCTTTCCTATTTGTTTGCATGTCGTAACATGCCGTGTGTGTCTTCTTTCAAGTTTATGTGGTTTGATCATATTTTTGGACTCTCACTCGATCATGCTTGTTTTGTTCTGCGTGTCGTTTACGTGGTTCGATGCATTTTCTTTATGCCTCATCTGTGTGTTTGTGTGTGCATCTTCTCATGTCATATTGCATTGTGGTACGTGCATTTTTCATGGTACTTATTCTTTCCATCTCTGCGTGTGCCAGATGGCCCGTAAGCGTTCTCGTCCCTCTGCATAGCCCGCTAGTGGTTAGACATCTTACAGTAGATCCAGGTTTATTTTTGCTATAGCTCAGGAGGTCTTCATTTCTCAGTTCTCCTTACGCCCCGTTCTCATGGAGCGTGAGGTAATTTTGTCTAACCTTCCTGTTGATATCGCCGCTATCTTTGTTTCCCGGGGTTGGGAGCCCTTTCTTATTGGTCTTACACCGCCGCCTTCACTCCCAGTGCACGAGTTTTATGCTAATATTCATGATGTGGACGGCTCGTCATTTAGGATTTTTCTTAGAGGTCATTCTTTTCGAGTTACTCTATCTACGGTAGCTCTTGAGTTAGGTATACCTCAGATTTCCCATCCGACTTATCCTTACATTCTTCCTGCTTCTCTTCCGATCGATGCCCTTGTTCGGTCGACTCTTTTGAACACCCCGTCTACTGGGGGGCCTACGGCAATGGCCACGGGTTCCTTACCTACTGATAGACAGGTCTTGTTGCTCATCGTGTGCACAAACCTATGGCCCGTTGCTCGTACTTCTTCTTTACCTATGGTGCGGGCCCGTTTTCTCTATGCCCTTCTTCATGGGGACTCTATAGACCTTTCTAGTTTTGTGTGCCAGCAGATTCTAGCTTCGTTTCGCACTCCTGGGGGTCGTATAGGTTTGCCTTATTCCTGTCTGATTCATAGGGTTGTCCTATCTCTTGATGCTTCTTTCCCTGAGGGGTCGTATAGGTCGTCCGATAGGATAGCAGACCATCCACCAGATTCGATCCCACGTCCCATCCTCTTCTTCTACTCATGCTGCAGCTCATGATGAGCCAGTTGATATTTTTGACTTTTCGGAGCCCCTTGATCCTATTAGTGACATCCTTTCTGGGGGTTCTCGTGTCTTTCATCCTCCTCGTTTGGATATTCTCCGGCTCCTCCGTCTGAGGCCGACCTTCCTTCGACGTCTACTTTCGTTCCAGGGGTGGCTTCCTTGCCCATTGACCCCATGGTGACGCTTATGGGACAGATGTCTACTTTGGTCGAGCAGTAGGCTT